CTCTCTCTCTCTCTCTCTATCTCTCTCTCTCTCTCTCTCTCTCTCTCTCTCTCTCTCTCTCTCTCTCTGTCTCTGTCTCACCTACAATTGTAACGAACCACTCTGTATTGCTGGAGCCAACTTCGACGGCCATTCCAACCTCGTCGCCAGCCTTCTTGAGCTTTTGGAGCTCTTTCTTTATCCTGCGCTCCGCCACGCTAGCAGTCATGGTTGATTGGTTCCTCGTCTCTTGTTCTCCTGCTGTGGCGATCCAAATCTAAGCAGTGGTTGGAGTATCGACCTGATGTGTTTGCTTCAGAGAGGGTCAACATGGGGGGCGCGAATATTTGCAATCCATGGATTAGAAAAGAGAACCACAGTCCAAACATCCAGACGGATCGAAACCCCGGGAAACCGCCCGGAGCGTCCCCGAAGAGGTTCTCCTCCCTCTCCAATAAAAGCAGCTATAATCACGGCGGCGGAGAGCCGTCTGAAGGCGGCGACACGCACCCGCACGCTGGGGCAAGACGAGGAGACGACACACAACGATAACTGGTGAGATCCCGTCCCGACAGCCGTCCGTGCATCCTCTGTGTCTGTGCCTCACCCTCACCCTCTCTGTGATGTTTTTTTGGAAATAAAATAGCAACGGCCGCACCCGCACCAGCTCCATGTGTGTGTTGGTCTGTCTCTTGTGTTGCAGCCTCCCTCATGCTGTCCCACGTGTCGATGCTGCTCTGTGCCTGTTGTTGCCGTCGTACGTACGTTGGTGATCATATGCCTGCACTGGTGTGGTCAGGCCAGGCCAGGCCCTGCCTGTTGTCCTTGCCGTGTAATCCGGAGTCTTTTCTGGCTGCTCGGCTGTATGGTGGTGCTACAGTGCTGGGCTGGTAGAGGTGCAGGCATCTGTGCACGCACTCGCCTAACCTCTTAACTTCATGTGTCTACCCTCCATGCTCGCGTCGTGGGACCCGTGGCCTGCCGTGCGGTGGTGTCATTGCTAGGAATGCTTCCATCCAGTGCTGCTCTGCCGGCCTCTTACGGTGCTCGTGATGCTGGCGCTGCGGGAGCCTTTGCGGGCTACCCTGTACAAGCCCACCCCGTACAGCAACAACAGCAGCAGCAGATATTGACCACCAGCCCTCCGCCGGAAACGCAGGCGAGACGGGTTGATGTTTGACTAGTGCAGTTCGGCGTGACACCGGCAATGTTTGTTCCGTGGGTAGCACGCCAATGGATTGTCGCTGCTGTGCTGTACCTCGTGCCTTTCAACGCGTGCACGTACGGTTCGCTGTTTTCGTGTACTCAGCGGTGGACGGCGAAACGTTTCATTTGTCTTGTCTTGTGATCAAACGTTGACATGGTGTCCTTCCCTTCCGCCGCGTGGTGCGTTTCGCGTGCGGTTGCAGGCTATGCTTTCACCTCGCACTGGTCTGCCGCCGGGAACTCCGGCCCCTGTGGGTGCTCCCGATGCTGGGGCCGCCGGAGGATTTGCGGGCTACCCTGTACAAGCCCACCCCGTACAGCAACAACAGCAGCAGACATTGACCACCAGCCCTCCGCCGGAAACGCAGGTGACAATGCCCGTAGTGTTGCACCCTCATGCACGACGGGGAGGCTGCGATGGCATGGCTCAACGACGCCATGCATGTGTTGGTCTGGGTGTATCTACAAGAATTTTCATTCTGTGTGACTTGCCCGCTGCATTCGCCTACTCGGTGCTGTAGTACAGTAATCCAGTTCGGGTATTTTTGTGCTCGATGCTCTAACATCCCACTGTGCTGTAGAATCGTCCACACCCCGAAGCACGTGCAGCTGTCTAACCCGTCGTATTGCGGTTTGAAAACTAGGTGTACTTTCCGGCTGTGTTAAAGGCGAAGCTGGAGGCAGTGCAGACGGAGGGAAAGACGCTTGAAGACGTGGAGGAGGAGGTGGTGAGGTTGTGCGCCGGTGAAGGGGCGATCCTTTCTACCGCGAAGTCGACGAGGTGTCGCGACGGCGCAACGGATCGTGTGGACATGAAGAAGCTGATTTGTACCCGAGGCGGGAAGAGCCGTCAACTGGAGTACGAAGCCAGTCTAGACACCGGTAAGCGTTCCATCCGTGGCACTTGGGCATACTAGGAGAATGGTTGAGGCGACGAATACGGGGCGAGTCGCGGGCAAGCCTGTTGTTAGCATGCATGCTTCGGTGCAGGTGAATGCATGACACACCGCCGGTGACACACCGCCTATACTCCGTCTCCCATGTCGTTGCGTGTTGCAGCACCTGGGGTACAACGGCGGAACGTAAAGGGAAGCGCGAGGACTGGTTGTCCGTTTGAGGTACGTAGCTGGTCTCCCGCGGAACATGTCTTGGTGCAGTGGACGGAGAAAGGGTCCAACAGGTGTCTGAGGTCTTCGAGCGTGAGATTGAAAAGATGTCCGAACTGCGTATTTAAAATTGGGGAGGGGTCGGTCGGGTGTCTTGTGATCCATGATCCATGTTGTGATCCATTACACACACACGTATCCCACGTATCCATCGTTTAATTATTCCTCTTCTATCCTTGTTGTGGACCCACCGTTCCGTTATTTCAGGTTAGCGTCCGGCACGCGAAGTCCCACAGGTGGCCCAGGATTAGCAACATGAAGCTCACGCACAACCACAGCGTCGACCGCAAGGCCATCGACGTCAAGCTTCGCCTCGCATCAAAACTAACGGAGGAGCAGCTGGGTCAAGTGAAACAGATGACAAGTGAGAAGATTGAACTCGTTGGAGTAGGTCTACAGTGGCTCCCGTCGTGTCCCACGGTTTGTCATGGTTGGTAGTCATGATGCCGCATGACGAACGGCCCTTGAAGCGTGGTACTGCTGTCGCCTCCACATTGTTACCCTGTTTGTCTGTGACACGCCACATATTTTTGTGCTCCCGGCTCTCCCATACGGCGCAGGTCATGGGATGAAGCCAAAAGAGGTGACAAAAGCAATGAAGGCGTTGCACGAGGACAGCGACATCGACATCAACAAGCGCGCGGTGCAGAACGCGGCTGCCACTGTGCACGGGGCGGAGAAGCCGAGAGATGCCGCCGATGCGTACGAAGAGGTGTGTCCATGTGTCCGTTGAGACTGTTGCCTCTCTTGTTTGTGTGTGGGATGTTGGGTTTGCTCAAGGCGGTAACCGGGCGACAAGACACATACGATCGCAGGTGACAACCGGGAGAATATATGCCCCATGACACCAAACCAAGAAATGTTGGAAGTAAAAAATGTGTGCCGTGCCGTCGTCGTGGTTTTGCGCTGATGCCCTCGATGTTTCCGGGCGCTTAACATGTTGCAATTTCAGGTCATGGCCGCGACGGCCGACGGCGGAGTGTGCGAGATCAAGATAGATGACAGCGGCCGCCTGACGCACATCTGGTGGCAAACGAGAGAGCAGGTAGGTCGCTGGTCGTTGTGCCCCATACGAATATTCCCCAGCCGGAAGGTTTGCTTTCATTTTAGCATCTCGCACGTACCGCTTGGCCGTCCGCAAAATGTAGGACGTCTGACCGAAAGCAGGCCGTAGGCAAGGGTGGGGGTGCGTTGTGACGCGTCCAACACACGTCACACCCACAATTAAGTGCTCTCGATCCCCTTCGACGTCATGCTCCGAATACGCAGGTGGCGCTTTGGAATCGGTACGGTCACGTTGCGCTCTACGACGACACCGCCGTCAAGAACAGATACCGGATGCCCCTCGGTGTGCTCGCTGTCATCGATTCGGAGTATCGGACGCGGATCGTCGGCCAAAGCATAACGGCGGACACCACAACGGACACTTTCCTGTGGATGTTGAGGAGTGCGTTGGAGTCTCGCGGGGGGAAGCAGCCGGATATCTTCATCCAGGACGCGGACGCGGCGATGACGGCGGCGGTGCGAGAGGTGTTCCCGGACGCGCTGGCGAGGCGCTGTTTATGGCACCTCAACCAGAACATCATCAAGGCCCTCGCTAAAGTCCTTGGTGGGGACATGAAGGTGCGCTCTACTGTGTGAGTTGGCGTGGTTAGTCTGCCCACTCTAGCCCCCTCCCCCACTCCCGCTTGTATCCCCTGTGCGAGTTGGTGCGTTGTCATGGATCAGTGGCGTTGTCGTCTACTTGGAAGAGTGATATCCAGCGTCTTTGCGTAGACCGTGATGCGGAGACGGCCTCGGCTTCGACGGAAACATACCTCACGACGTCCAGTGCACACAGAAAAAGCAGCAGCAGCAGCAGGTTGTAAGCATCAATGGTATGTCGCTGAGTTTTTTCAACCCTCTCCTCGTCTCGCCTTAGCGCTAACGAAGTGTACGGGGTTGTTGGTGGCAGTCAATCGTACAGACCGGTAGCCCATCGCCCAGGCCCCAACTCACGCAACACCCACCCGGCCCACGTCGTTTGTGTTTTCCGCAGCCTTTCATGGACGAGTTCAGGTGTGTGCGTCAGCAGCTGTCATTGGCGAAGTTCGAACGGAAGTTCAACGCCCTCATCGAAAAGTACCCGAAGGCGGAGAAGTACATGCGAGTGGTATATGACGACCGCGCACGGTGGGCGGAATATGTGTCGCCCCTGGTGTTCTCCGTGGGTTCGTGGACGACATCAAGAGTTGAAGGTGCGTTTATGCGTCATCTGCCATGAGCTTTTTTGTTCGAGAACGACAGCGCATATAGTGTTGTCGTTGTTTTTGGGAGTTTTTCTACGTCTGTAGGGGTTTGGGGCGGCTATCTTCCTTGCCCCCTATTTACTATGCCATTGGTGAGTGCTTCTGGACGAATTTATCGTACGCCGTCAGTGAATGACCAGTAAACAACTCCCTACATGACGCTAATGTTTACGACCTCTTCGAAACATGTGGCTGTTGTCCGGCCCCAGTTGTTCGGGATTGATGTACTTGGTCGGTGCACTGCGATCGTCCGGCTCACGTGTACATACATCTGTGGCGATGGGTGCGTCAAGTCATAGGCTTCTCTTTCAGTCGTTTGGCGTACTGCGACTTCGACGATGTCTGATGACACCAATCACTAACCTACGGTTTGGTTTGTGTGTCGCTTCTTGCGTGTTTGTCCGCCGCACACACAACAGGCCAAAACGCCCTCATCAGGGATAAGTGCAACTCGCGCTCCTCGCTTTTGGACGTGGCGAAGTACTTTTCGGGCATCATCTGTTCCCAGAAGGATGCCGCCATGCTGCGTGACGCCATCGACCATCTGCCGCCCAATCGGATGGCGGCTCCACCAGCGACCGCTTTCAAAAGTGTGCTCGAGTCCTGCGAGTTCTCCATCGCGGGCTGGCCGCGGCGGTTCATGGAGCAAGAGATGACCGCGGCCATCACGTTTTGCCAGATGGGTGGTGGGGAGGTGGATGGACCAGAACGCGCGGCAGCTTTGGGACGCACGTTCGAGTACATCGAGGACAAGCTTTGCGACGTCATCTACGTCTTCGGGATTCACGAGCAGCGTGATGACAAGGCCTTCGACTACCTTGTCTTGCTCTTTTCCGACGGTAGTCATCTCTGCCAGTGCCGCACACTCCAAACTCTCGGGCTATTTTGTCGCCACGTGTGGGCGGCGATGATGTACAGCCCCCGATTCAGATTCCACGTAGGCCTCCTGCACGAGCACTGGCTGACGGAAAATGCGAGGGGAACACCGCAGCAGGACTGGCCGGATGTCGCCCGCCCTCGATGGGTGGTATCCAACCGCCACGTCTGCGGGAGAAGTGGACGGGGCGGCGGGAGAGGGAGAGGGAGAGGGGGTGGGGGGATGCAGCGGGAGGTGGAAGTCTTTCGTTGGGAGCAGCCAGACGGTGCAGACGGTCCTGTTGGACTTGAAGGAGAAGGGGCCCACGGACCAGGATAGACAAGTGTTGTACGCCGACGTAACGAAGAAGCTCGGGCAAGCCGCGAGTATTTTGTCTGATCGCTTTTCACCGACAGTCGCCGTAGCCCTCGTGGACCAATTTCTGACGATGGTCAATGTGCAAGCAGGCGGGGTGGGAACTACAACCAACCACGGGAGGGCGGGGGGCGGCTCTTTTCATGGCCAACCCTGGAACTGTTCGCCTGCCCGCTAGGACAAGTAATAAAAGACGACCTGGCGCTGTAGAAAGATACACAAGAGGGGGTAGCAAGAGAGCCGCGACTTCGGGGTCCCAACTCTAGTTTCGGTGTTGCATTCTTGGGGTACGTGAGTAGCGGTACGCGGCCCTAGGTTTACGACGTCACCCGGGCATATGCCTGAACGATGTTTTGTCCCCGGCGGCAGGTCAAGGCTCGGTGTGTTGTTTATTTTTCGCTTCCGCGTTTTTGCGCCGATCGCCGTCTATGATGTTGTCGTTTTTGTGTTTGTATGTCTATTTGGTTGTTGCGGTGTAGCGTTCCATGGGACCATCTGGTTCCTGTCCTGTTTTTATTTCGTTTGTTCCAGTTCCTTTTCTTTCTTTCTTCGTCCGCCCCCTTTTTTGCCGTGTTGGGGTCATATCCAGGCCCTTTCTTTTTTTGGTGGGGGTCAGTCTATCATGAAATCGCTCTTGGATGTTGTTTTTTCTGGGTTATTTTTTCTGCCTCTATCTGTGCTTGTCGGCCTGTGTGCTCTGCGAAGAAAACCGTGTGAGCCGCGTCTCGAGTTTGTTGAGCGGGCCTGCGATGTGCGAACTAAACGATGCCTACAGATTTTGACGGCCCCATGATGACTGACATCCATCACGGCAGCACCGTGCAGCAGGTTATATCTACCAAATACTGCTGTCTGTATGCTGCGACAAAATCTACAGCAACAATTGCTTACAGCAGCAGCACAGCACAACAACAGCAGCAGCAGCACCACACGAACAACACCACCAGCAGCAGCAGCACCACATGCGGATAGACACACAGAGAGAGAGACGAGCACTTCTCTAAGTACGGGGCGTTGTGTGTCGTCGTGTCCTCTTGTTCCTCTGAGGCCTAGCGTCTCCTGGGCATCCCGGGTGCGAAGGGTGGCCTTGGCGTGATATGTGCCAGTATGGCGTATGGACTGTTGGGGTTGTTGCTGCAGACGAGAGCTCTGCTTCCGAAGACAACGGGCGTTAGATCCAGGCTCCGAGATAATTTTGAATCTGAGAGAGAGAGAGGAGAACCTCTTCGGGGACGCTCCGGGCGGTTTCCCGGGGTTTCGATCCGTCTGGATGTTTGGACTGTGGTTCTCTTTTATAATCCATGGATTGCAAATATTCGCGCCCCAACATGGGGGGCTGCGCAGTCGAAAACTGGCTTTTGGTTTGGAGACCCCTAGACTGTAGGGGTTGCGCAGAGTGGAGAACTGGCTTCCAACACAACAAAGCGGGAGCGGACAGCATCATCAGTTGTTCCTCCTGATTCCAACCAGATCCATACATACATGACACGACAGATATACTATGTGAAGACGCACTTGCTTGAGCCCGATGAACCACGCCTGGCCTGCTCTGTCCATGTCCTTCCAAGGCAATCATGCTTGCCTACTGCCGTCATGCACAACGACGAAACGGGGGTGGTGGTGGCTGGTGGTGCGCGCGCCGTCGGATACCAATCCATCCGTCGAAACGTGTTGCACCACAACAAGAAAATCGCCACAGACAAAAAAGCAACAGCAGTGTCGTCGCCGCCCGCAAACAATCCACATAATAATTAATCGCAGGTTTTTGCCCCTCAGGAAAGAAGTCGGTACATGAAGGAATGAATGTAGACTACGCGTATTTTTTGTTCGCTTGTTGTCAATAATAGTATCGTTGTTGCATGCCATATTGTCACCAAGCAAGGAAAAAAAAAAAAAAATGTGGAGATCCCCGCCAACGTTCCGACGTTTTGTCTGCCTGTCGAGGACGACTCCCCCTTTCACATTGGTCATTGGCTTCGACGAAGAGACGTATGCATCTGTATGTAACTTTGGTGAACAAGCTTCATCCATCCATCCTCCGAATGAATCCTGGGGACGGTGGGGAAACAAGCCGTTCGTTCGACTTGGCGACCTCGTGGCTTTCTTTCTGCGCAGGACTTGGGAGTCGGAGTCGGACTCGCGCAGTCGACCAATTTCAATAGTGAATGGTGGCGATGGTCCCGACCTCTCTGACCACAAAGAAAGACGAAAAGCATGCACTTACTTACGGTGAAGTTAGCTTCCATGTCGACGAACGGCCACAGCAATACCAAGGCCGCCTTGGCGAGAGAGGAGTAGGGCGTCGACAGAGGAACAGTCACTGGTTCATGGGGCATTCCACACAACATACAGCTCTACCGTTTCGTGGGGCATTCCACACATTTTCACCGTTTCACGAAGTATTTCATACTGTCTACGCCTCAATTTTCCTCTGTCGGCTGGCGCCGCTCAGTTTGGTGGGGAACAGACCTACATCATCAGTGATGTTGTTCCCTCTCGGAACCCGCAGCAAGCACTATGTGTGTAGACAAAAATGATAAACCATCCAGATTGATTGGTGATGATGCCGTACGTAGCAGCAGCCCGTGCTTGCAGAACCAATCATGGAGCGAAGCCGGGGAAAGCGACAGCATTAGGCATGGACCTGGCGAATCTCGCGATGGACAAAGCACGCGCCTCATTCCAACCGTGTACGTGCCTTGTAATGTGTCTTTGAACAATAATAAAGTGTACCGTGTGGCGCCCATTGAGGCCTTGCCCCGTGAACGCAAAAGAAGCAACCGGCCGGGAGAAGGAGCCGGCTCTATTCCATCACCAACGATATCGCCTAGTCCCCAACAATGCTAGACGCTACGCCCTGTTCCCTCGAAAGTACCAGCTCGTCAGCTATGCTACAACACATCGAGCAAGAAACAAAATTTGAAAGAAAACGATCCGGCACTACCGCGGTGGGACGCCGGATTACAGCTCACCGCAGCCACACAAATTGAAAATCGGACGGCACGACAGCCCATATGATATTGTCGCAAATACGAACCAACCAACCCACATCAAATCCGTCCGTAGCAAACACATTGGCGGAGCTTACGAGACAGAACCCGAAACGGTGCGCCAATAAACACGCAATGAAGCCACGAGGATCGATGGCCCTAAGGCAGTCAAGCAATGTGTGCATGTAGATGATCGTCCAAACATGGACGCAAAACTGACCAGCGCATCGTCACGATGTGCCAGCAACACGATGCGCTTTTCGCAACTATGCTCAGCATGAACACAAGGGACGGCGGTCGTCGTGAAATTGTTGAATAGCTGCCCCTGCAGCGGAGGCCACTCGTGGCCGCGCCCTCCCCTTCCCTGGCATCATAACCGTTCCCTGCGCTACACACAATCGGTTGGGTGGGCGAGGAATGAGAAAGGACAAAAACCAGAAAATAGTACCACCCTTCGTCTCGCTCCTGGCGAGCAGACTCAACACACCAAGGCCAAAATAGGGGCAGGCGCACCTCGGAAGGTTTCACACGTCCTGATCCCTCATTGGTCAATTGGCACAGTAGCAGAAACCTGCCCCCACACCCAGACAAATGATGGCAGTCAAGTACACGGCTGCACGCTCTACATGTAGCCTCACTGCCCACCTTTCATCGACTCTCGCCAACTGAAACATGGTGTTGAGCACTCTGTACACTCTTGACAACCGCTTCAGGACACACAGGCGCAACCAATCTTCCCAGCCGGTATTCTCCCCCGGCTGCTTGCGATCCTCTTCTGGACCTCCTGCAGCTATTAATAGGACCTCCGATACTCATTGATCACCCACTACTCCGACGGGTGATTTGTCCACAATGCTTCCAACTTTCCACACGGCGCCACGCGTCTTGCCCCAGCAGCAGCGACGGCCACTCGTGGCCGCGCCCTCCCTCTCACTTTCCTGGCATCACATCGTTCCCCACAATAAACGAAGCCGGGTGATCTCGGCGCACACAACTGCGGGATAGAGTGCTACCAACGCACCAGCCACCAGAGTGATACCAACGCGACCGATACCACCACAAATTGGTGCCAATGCTGCCAAAAATATACTCCACTCAGGCCGGTCGCTACCCTTGGCTTAAAACCCCGGTCTGGACCCCGTTGAACAGAGGACTCATATTGCTCGCCGGGGGTGCCGTGGCGGGAGGCGAGCAACCCTTACCCGCTCGCGCGAAACAGCTGCGAAAACCCGAAGCCCAAGCTATTGCTATTGCTGCTCGTGGCGAGGCCTGATTGGTTCATGCTCCCGTTGTGTCGCGCCGCTAGCCGTGTCGGTGCTGATGCTGGCGCCGCAGCCGCCGCTGCCGCCGCCGCTGCTGCTGCTGTTACAGACCGCCCGGCTGGAGCCCCTTCGCCGAGCCCTCCGTTCCGTCCCTCGTCCCTCTCCTCTTGTTGCCCGTGCCGCCGCCGCTGCTGCTGCTGCTGCTGCTGCTGCACACCGCCTGCCACCCCGTTGCCGGAGGAGGGAAACAGCGGCGGCTCCCAAGATGGTGCCATAACGGCGGCCGTTGTCGTTGCTGCTGCCGTTGCTGCTGGCGACGATGATGATTCTAATGTCGCCGGAGGGTGTTCTACACCAGCAGCAGAAGTGGCAACAACACTACCGGTAGCGGCGGGTGACGCCTGACCCGATTCGGCTTCCTCCTTGTCCAGTCGCGAAATCTCCGCCTGCACCAGCACAAGCCTCCTCTTGATCTCCGACTGCTGCTCCTCGTTCGTTTGCTCCACTTCCGCGTCATCCGAGGAGTCGTGCGGCGCAAAAGGCGACGCTTCGGCCGATGGCGGCGCGGCTTCTTCGGCCGATGCCACCTGCTGGGCTGATGGTGCCGGTTGCTGCTGCGTTGGCTGCACGACTACCGTTGCTTTCCCTCCGGGTGTCGCCTGCACCGCCGCAGCGGCCCTCGCCTCGCTCGCCGCCTGCCCCGCCGCCCGCGCTTGCACCACCCTGGCCGCCTGCATCGCTCCGATGGACCACGAGAGCCCCGACACGGTTGCCACCTGCGCTGCCTGCGACAGCTGCGCGGACGGTGACAGTCGCGTCGCTTGGTGCTGGGGCCCCGCGGATTCAGAAGCTCCGGTTGCTGCTGCTGCTGCCCCCTGTGTCCCGTTCGCCCGCGCGCCCCCCGCGTCGGCCGTAGCCGCCGTGCCTGTCCCTGCGGCTTCGTTCCCACTCTGCTCTTTGTGCGCGAGCAGGCTCAACCTGTCCGATGTGTTCTCGGCCCTCGCTTGGGCCGCCAACTGCGGAGGAGGGGGTGGCATTTGTGCAAGTTCGTCCGGCACAAATGTCAAGGGTCAGTGTAGAGGCAAAGCCTGATAACCTACCGTAAAGTTCACCAAGCGTTAAGAGAAACTAAATATTGTATCGACATGACTCAACATAGGGGATTCCTCCTCCCGAACAAGGCATTTGCAACATGGGGTTATCTCCTCCCAAAAGGGATTCGCATCGCCTCGCAGGATCGTGTCACTACAAGCAGTAGCCAGGCGCAAGACGGAGGCACGACCTACTTTTGATTTGTGTGTCGACCTTCTTCTGACAACCTTCAATTCTCCGAAGAAATGTTTTCCTGATCGATCGCGCAGAATCCTCGCCAGGTGCAGCAGCCTCTACTCTACGTACGCTAGATGCACTTCGTTGAAACGAACGCGTCGGTCAGAACGTAAAGTCTTGAAATCGCACAGATGTCAGAGACAAGGAAATCAAAATTTACCCTTGAGAACAACGGACGTCATCAGCGCCCAGCGTCATGCTCGCCGCAGTAGAACAAAAACGGACGCGGGTCACGACTTGCCTTTTCCCAGTAGGCCGCCTTGGCCTCTCGCTGCGCGATGATCGACAGGAGCTGCCTCTCGCTCTCGGCAACCGCCGCCTTTGGTGAACAAGAGTGTGCGACAAAAACAAAAAGAATAGGCGGGGATAACTGCTAGGTGAAAAAACTCTCGCACTGCTATTTCGGCCCGTGTAAACTCTTCGTACTGTGGGTAACGGTATCCCGGGGTCAGTTGTCCAGAAAGAGGCAGATTTACGTTTTACGTGGGTTGGACAGGTGTAAATGGCGGTGAAATCTCGTGGCACACATGGGGACAAACGAAGTTGTCTCACACTTCGAAACATTGCTGGGTGCAAGGAATGAGGCTGTCCACAGCCCCTGGCACCAAGCGGCCTCCTACCGGGGCCGCTACTGCTGCTGCATGTATTCCGGCCAAATACGTGTGACGTATTTCGACAGTCAGTCCGTATCAGCCCGCTACATCAGTTTGAACTTCGGGTAGGCCGTTGGCACTTTATTGTCACAAAAAGCAAGCAACAGCCTGGCGTGCCGTTAACACGCCCCGAGTTTGGTGCGTTCACACCAACTTCAGGAGGTTCGAACTGACACTATTTGATGTCAACATATGCTTCTTCGGTTTCTTTGCAAATACGGCACGGGCGTTAGGGTAGTTTTCTTTCGCGGTTGATGATCACGAATACTGCACTTTTCGCACACAATTAAACCGTTTAAACCGTTTCGACCTCTGCCTTTGCACCTTCTTCCCTCGCAGACCCAACCTCCCTACATGCCAGCTTCCGTGGTCGCCGCCTCACCCAATTACAAACAGACAAGGGTGTATCACTAAAGGGTCGGTTTTGTCTTGAACAGGAACTCACCCAACGGACGGTACTTGAGAACCCGCCCTCTACAGAACGCGCCACCACTTACGAACGTGAGCCGAAAAAAAATCCAAAGTCTAAGAACTTGGCCATGCGAACAGGTGCTCCGACAAGAAGTCTACACTAAATTTAGTCCCCGGGGGGGGTAGTCTACTCCACAGACAAAACAACAAACGAGCCTCGGGTAAATTCAGAGGTTTTGGGGGTGGTTGCGTGTTCAGCACTTGCCTTCCGGCGGTCGTCGTTCTCCTCCAGCGCAGCGTTGGCTCTTGCGATGACGCCGTTCAGCTCCGACTCCCGCTGAGGCAACAAGCAAAACGAACCGTCGTATGCGTTCGACCAACACACAAGCTCATCTTCAGGGAGGCACGTCTTCGCAGAGCGATTATACAAAAGTACGAATCTTACACAATCGATGCGAGAGCAACAATGGTGCGGTTGAATTGGCGCACCGCAAACTTCACTCGCATTTGGGTTTGGCGTGTCACGGAAGGTGGCCTCGATATTCTACTGCCAGGAAAACAGCGGTTCAAAATAATTGTAAAAACCAAAACACACCCGAGTACGCAGATCTACGCGGGGAAAAGGCGGGTACGGTTGAATTTGCGCAGTGCAGATTCTCTCGCATTTAGGTTGGCGCAGAGCAGGTTCATTTGCATTTGGGTGTGGCGTCAAACGAAAAGGCGGCCGCCTCGAAGTTCCACCGCGCCAGTACCTACAGCAGCAGTGTGAGACTTGTTTTATTCTTCTGATGTTTATTGTGTGCAATTGGAGTTCGGGTCGAAATGCTTACAGTACGACACACGAAACACCGTCCAGAACATGCCGTAGGAAAAAAAAGGGCGTCGCCGGTAACGTACTGACCTCGTCGCAAGCCCTCAGCTTCCACGCCAATGCCTGCTGCACCTCGTCCTTGGTGGCCAAGTCGGACATGGAGGGCGGCCCTTCACTTGAGCCCCTCGCCTGATACGCCGCACACACGACCAACCGACGGAGCGTGCAAGCGTAAGGAGCGGGAGCAAAAAGAAAAAAAGAAAAAAAGGGGAGAAAATGGAAAATTAAAAGGCCGTATGCATATCAAAGTATCAAGCGGAGAGAGGGAGCCGGAAAAAAAAAGTAGACAGTAAAAAATGAACGTCGTATAAGGTACCAGGTAGACTACAAAACACTGACCCCCATGCGTTGTTTTACGGAGGCAGGCTGCTTGTTGCCCACGGGCACAAATCTTGGGGTGATCTCTTTGCGAGATGAAGTGGCCGTGATTCGGTCAATTGCAAGAACTGGTGCCGCTGTGTATGAAGAGAACGAACATGTCCATCTGGGCCCAAGGTCAATATGATAGATATGCAATTGCGGTACTTTTCCCCTAACCCTATGTATGATCAAGTTCGTCACACATACTGGTCACACAATCCGATTGCCGTGAACACTGCGCGTGCGGGTGCTTTCGTAGAAATATCCAACATTCCCCTAGACGTGCAACCTTAGCCTTGGCGTCCACGACGGTGACCGATAGTGGTGGGCGCAGACCTCGTGAAAAAAAAAAAAAGAAGGCTCGGCTGTGGGCTTTGTGCACACGGAGACTGCTGTTAAATAATTCCGTTCCATGGTTGTCGCAATGACCGAAGCATACATACGTCAGCCTGAAAAGACCGGATGGTACCCGGGCACACCTCTTGCCTCCTTCCGTGGTCAAAAACTTGTCGAGTTCGGATGTTCGAAGTTCGATGCTGCCGTCACTCGCCAATCGTTTTCCTTACGAGCCTGTAGTGAACTGACTTGACTGCTGTGGGACGCTTAATATCAAGACATAGACACCTTGCACCGCGCACCAACCACCTCGAGAACACTTGGTTTACGGCGAGAGACACACTCCGGGTAAAACCTGCTGTAACCTTCGAAGTACAACCCCACATTATTTCTTGGGCTCTTGTCTGTGGATAGAGATTGATTTGTTCGCTGCAGGTAAGAAAAAAAAAAAAGCTTGAACCTCAACCTACATGGTCGAGATTCGAGTTTGTTTTCCCCATACACGTAGAGCAACCAAGAAGAGACCCTCAAGCGCAAAAAACGACTCTTCAGTGGAGGCGAGTACTGCTGTCGGAAGGAAGTTCTCGGGAAATTCTGCGCTCGCTTCAAAGCGAGTAACGCTGTGGTTATCGATGCGGCCAAACCTCTCCTACTACCAAGCGACCAGCGAGTGCCTACGACAGCACAAAAGACATAAACTGCTGTGTTGGCAGCACAGCGTGAGATGTGCACATGGGATGTCATCCGCTCTAGCCTCACAGGTGAAGTTGTTGCTGCTGCAGAGCGTGTGTGAGAGAGGCGGGGGAGAGAGAGAATAAGAGAGAAACAGACAGAGAGAAGAGAGAGAGACAGAGAGACGAGAGACAGACAGGGAGAAAAAGAGAGAGAAAAAGGGGGAAGGGAGAGAGAGGGAGGGAGAGACCGGAAAGAACTTTGCATACTCCAGACACTACCGGCGTCCGTTGGTGCTGTCAGGCAGCAATCGAGCTGTCCCCGAAAATTTTAGTCCAAACCGAAATGCGGTGTGTTTGTAACACCAAATTCCCCGCATGGAACACCAGGCCACCACTTCGTTCGACCTCCTGACCGTTCGGTCCTCTCGCGCACGCCCCCAGCTGTACAGGAGCGGTCTCGAGAGAGAGCTCGGGAAACTCTCACCACCACCACCACCAAGCTCGAACCTCCGCCGCCAAAAGGGCCGCCTGCGGAGTAGCGGGAGCGCACCTTAATAACCCCCCCATCTGCCTCAAGGCACACGCTCAACTCTCGGGTGTCCATCAAGGGGTTGTACACCCACCTCTTCCTCCCCCGGGGGGGGGGCTCCTACCCGAGCCGCAACTCCGCCCCGGTTCTTGGCAGTTGAGGGCTTTGCTGCTTTTCTCTGGGAGACGTGGTGCGAATATGTACGCGGAACACGGAACCATGTTTTCAACTTTTTTACCGGAAACTTTTTCCCTTCTCCGGGAGAGGACTGGGGGCCCGAGGGGCGGCGGCGGGGGCCGACAGGCCGACAACAAGTCGATGAAGAGTGCCACCCGCACTAGATCGTCTTCTCTTCTACACGCAAAGAAGCAGAGCAAGCAAAACACAAAAAAAGAACGCCAAAAGACGATCGCCAACATCCATCCCCCAAAACAGCGTAGTAGCGGTATGGTACACGGCTGGGGAAGCCACAAGCAAGAGGGCTATTATACCTTTTCTCTGTTCAGCCCGCAACGAGGAGTGGAGCGACAAACTAAGGTACGCACAAGGCACGGAGGACCATCTCATTTTTGTTCAGTCCGGATTGAGGAGCGAAGAGACAAAACGAGGTATGTAACGCACGAGGGCCAGTCTGGTGTCCAGGTGTTGGGGGAAAACGGTCGAGTTGCTGGCACTTATAGGCAACGTCTGCCTCTACCTCAAGTTTGCGCACTCCTCATCTCGCAACCCGGCTCCCATCATCTCGGCCAGGTTCCTCTCAACAGGGAGAGTATACCTCCTATAGGCAGCACAGCTCAGCAACAACGTCTAAACAAACAACACAGGAGTGGTCGCACACTAAGAAGAGAGAACCATAAAAACGCATGCAAAAAACAACCCACCTCTGGACAAAAACAACACATTAGTGATAACAACAGAAGCAAATATATGGTATATATTTACCTCGCCGTTCCCCCCCGCTGAACTGTCTTCGCCGAGCCTGCCGCCGCTCCCGACAGGGCTGACTCGCACTCCGGCGCCCGATCTGCGCGACTTCCTGCGCTTCGCCGCCGCCGCCGCTGTCCCCCCCCCCGCGCCCCCCTCCTCTCGAGGCCCTCCCGCCGAGGACCTCTTGCGCTTGGTCGAAGATGACGGCGCTGCTCCCGCCGCTGCTGCCGCCGCCGCCGCCGCCGCCGCTTTTCCTTCACCCCCGTTCTCGTCCGCCCCCCCTGCCCCCGCTCTTTCAGCAGCAACCGCGCCGCCACCACCGCCGTTCCCATCCTCGTCCTCGTCATCATCTTCTTGAATCCAGACCCAGCCGGGGCGCACGGCCCGGCGCGAAGGTTCATCGCCGTCGCCGTCGCCGTCATCAGGGGGCCCGCGAGGTGCGCGGCCGCTACCCCGAGCCGGGACTGTCTCCTCGCCCACGTTCGAGGCGCCCGGGACGCAGAGCCAGCCGGCGACGGGCCTGGCGGGGCTCGGCCGCTCGAGGACAGTGCCGGCAGCGAGGGCGATGGAGGAAAGGCCGGCCAGGTCCGCCCAGGGCACCTCCGAGATTTGGAGCTCGCTGCTGCTGCTGCTGCTGCTGCTGCTCGCCTTCCACGCCATGATTCGCTGGACCAAGGCGAACACATAGCATGTAGGCATTTTGGGGGGGGAGGGGTGTTCATGTAAATGCATTCCGTGAATGGTAGACCGTTGATCTCACACCCCTACAATTCAGGGACCGAGCGATATATGCCTTCCGGGTTTCGCCGGCCCAGGCTATGTACTACCTGGGGTACTTCGGGCACTTGGGGGCGGGAGGGTGCTCCACCACATGCACGTCTGGTTGACATGGTTGGCTCGTTGTTGACGTTCCACGCGAAACCTCGCCGGCGGCAGAGAGTACCGGGGGGGGGGGGGGGGGGGGGGGGGGCCTGGGCCTTTTTTTTTTTTCGGGGGGGGTGGGGGGCTTTTTTTCGGGGCCCGCGGGGGCCCCCGGGGGGGCTTTTCCCCCGGGCCCCCCCCCCGGTTGGGCCCCCCCGGGGTTGGGGGGGGGGTGGGCGGGGCCCCCCCCGCCCCCCCCGGGGGGGTTTTTTTTGGGGGGCCCCCTGCCCCCGGCCCCCCCGGGT